TTGACAGAAGGGATTTAATGTCAATTCGTAGTGGGCAAAAGATGAAAAAATCTAACGACTGGATTTTTTTAAAATAAACAAAAACCATTTTTTAAGCCTTGTTTTTAACCAGCCCCGTTGCCATGGCAACAGCACACACCTTAGCCAAAATGCGAGAATAAACTCTTCTGTGGTTAACCTTGACTCTTGCAAAAAACGAGCGCCAAAGCATAAATAGCTTAAAAGTAACGGTGAATTAAGCATAGGCTCTTGAAAACTGTGTTCGGCCACCTTAAACCAGAGTAACGTTTTTCAATCATGAATCAACCACCTGGTTACAGAACCATTTTTAAAATTTATACATTTTGTCGTGTTGTAGTGATGAACGTCAAGTTAAGATACCGTAGAGTCCTGGTTATAAGATCCCAAGCTGCAGACAAAAAAATGGTTACAGGAGAAACATGTTTGGACTTAAGTTTCCAGGAAATTCGCTCCCTTAGGGTTCGGTTACACGGAACTCTTTACCGTGGTAAATGACCCTTTTACCACGGGAAACTGAATTTAGTGAGTATGACCAATATTTCCGGAGGTAAATTTCCCGTGGTCAATACCCATGGATACATCAAAAAGATCACATGCAGTGCCCTTGACATTTAATGTGGTAAGTTGCATTGGTGTTTTGATGTCCAAGGTATTACGAGAAAATCACGTTTCTCCGTTTGTCATTAATATGTAACCGAAAAGGAAACATAGGCATGCAAAGCGTGCAAGAGTTTTTTGTGAAGTCTCGGAGATAGGAGTATTCATGGAACTGTTTACAGTAATGATTGGGTTAATTTGAGTAATTTAAGTATTTTCCGTTGCGATGTACATCAAGAAAGAAACTGGGAATTTATGCTGTACATACGATGTTACACGGGTGATGGTAAGATAACTAAATAGCAAGCCATAAAATGTTTGACTGAACAAACTACAGCAATCTGACACGTCTCCAAATTAATGTAGATACCATCTTATTTTCTAACAGGCAATTTGATTCGTTCTTTGATACAATCCACACTGTGATTTGTGTGACACGTGCACATGCATAACTCACTCAACGATCACATAGCCCTTCCAACCCCCAAGAGTAATTTTTGCTCAAAAATACTGAAGTTAAGAGAACTTTTCGCATTTTATACAATTCGTAAGTTTACCCTTTTCACACAACACAACACAACAACACTACTTCACTGAAAATAGAAAGAAAGAGAAAAAAACCTCTCTGACTCATTGAAAGTCTGATTTAATTAAATTGCACTTTAACTTGGTGCCACGCATTCTTCAAAGAACAATTGATCAGTTTTTCATAATTCTGCCTTTAAAAGAATGTCATAAAATGCCCATCAAATAAAAATGTTAAACTGCTACTGCAGAGATGTAAAAACTGTCCAGAAATGAAAGCTTCTTTTTCGTTTAATATCCTGGGAACAATAGCCGATAACTTGTCAGCTCTAATTGAATTTACTCTCATATAAAAAACAAAAGTGTTAAGTTACCATTTGTAACTGAAGATAGCAAACATCTCGTGGGAACAAGTGGTGACGATTCGTCAGCTCTAATTTAATTTACTCCCTTGTGAAAAACAAGAGTGTCAAAGTACCCTTTGGTACTAAAAAATAAAAATATCTCGTTATATTTGCATGTAACAAGAACAAAACAATCGTTACCTGCACTTACTGTTGTAAACATTAGAACTGTCTCAAATCTAAATAGTCTCATCTCCTCTAAAACATGTCCTGAGAACTAGAAGCGACTATTCGTGACCTCTAATTGAATTTACTTCTTGTGAAAAACAAAAGTATCAAGTTACCTTTGTAACTAAAAATAAAAATATCTCATTCTATTTGCATACTACTAGCTCATGAACTGTTTCAAAACTCAAGGCTGATCTCTTTCATAACTAAACTCCTCAGCCTAACCCACAGAAAATGTCGAAGTAAGCCCAATATATGAATACTACCTCCTCTTTTATAGAAGAATAAATATGGCCGTTCTAAACTGTATCAGCACCAAATCTTCTCACATACCATTTATCTTTACAACAAGAGATTTGATTGGCTGTTCATAGTAGATCCAATCTGATTGGTGTGACATACATACATCTCTCACTCACTCACTCACTC